CTATATCTTCAGAATCAAAGACCTAAATCTCATTCATGTTATCAATTTCACATTAAAACACGATTTATTTTAAGAAACATGAGTGGAAAATGACAGGAGACAGCGATTTGTCTGCCGCATTACATCACGTCCATAATGAGTCAGCCTTTCTGGCGCATTTAAAATTCATTTTAGTTTTTGAACTTTTCATAAACGGGCTTGTCCGGGATTTTGGCTCCGAAAATGCGCAATATACCACCAGTAATCTACTGATTTGTCAATTTCAGATGATTAAATAAAAAAACACAAGGTTTAATGACCCATCGCATCTCTCTTTGTACTTGTTATTCTCGCGAGGAAAAATATCCATACAAGAAGGAGTTTTTTTAAAGAAGAGTAATGAACGCTCAAAATCGGTGCAACCCCTGGGGGTTGGGCCGCGTGGTGGCCAGGGGGCGTTGCGTAGTCCCCTTGTAACAATTTACGTATCCGTGCTCACATCGGCCGCGTGCGTTGAACTATGATTTTGACTGCTAGAATACACCGCTCGGGAAAACTGCCGTGACAGCGAAGAGAGCAGTATGTTCATTCCTGTATGAGCCATGATTATCACATGCTTTTATGTGTCTCGAAGTTCATTCCAGCATGCACTTAGTGCTCTCTTCGCTATCAAGGCAGAAAAGTACTTACCGGAAATAACGAGGGTCCTAACGATCTATTACGCATTTTTATCTCGAATTGTATCCGATAACCGGCCGTAGTGTACAATTAGTACAATAGGTACACCGACTCCGTAAAAACCGAGTATACAAGTGCAATGAATTCATGGCCCAGCGTGATNGGGGGGGGGGGGGGGTTCATCGTCGTTGACTCAGGAATTGTCCCTGGGATTGGGTTTGATTACTTACTTCCTTCGGTGCTCCGCTCTTAATCCGCCTGCCCGTTTGTCCTATCATTGTCTCCATTATCATAACTGCAGAGCGCGACCCGCGGCACTGCGCCGGTCCTATTCAAAANATCCCCCCCCCCCCCCCCCCCATACCGAAAAAAACGGATCCTTCCCACGTAGCACCGTCAATGAGATTTCGCCCCCAAATGATTTCGATGATTGTTCCTTAAAGTGCGATGCTGCTGGTAGTGATTTGTCGTCTGTTCTTTCCCCTCAGTTTTAATTAGAATGAGGGTTGGTGTATGTAGAACACTCTAGTGTCCGAAATTGAAATGTTTCGTGGGTTCGAGAAACAAGCTCAACAAATTAGCTTGTGCTCGGGGAAAAAAAATTGGGTTGTAATGACTGAAATGCGGTTCATTGATTACCGTCAGAATTGATTGATTTGCATCTGGACGGGCCATCGATTTGGAAAACTATCGGCCAGTTTGCACTGAACTTTCGAAATAACTGAAAATTATTGCGAGGAGTTCAGTTGCACGAATCGCACGTCTTCTGGTTAGTTTGGTTCGGTGTATCAAATATCTAGGGCTGTATAAAAGACAGGACGCTCGGTTCACACGACCAAACTTTTATCCAGACTAGTTACAAGAAAATCAGTCGCGCTGTTCTATCTTATTTTTTCCGCTGGAGTACGTTACTGTACTAGAAAAATTCATCTGCAGTGCTCCTGCACACTAATTTTCTGATAACTAAAATCTTCATATTCTCTACCTTCCTCTCCTTTTTCTTTTTCATCCGATTCAGGGAAAACATTTTAACACGCGAAACACGAAAAATACTTTAATTTTCGACTTTATAAAGACAAGACATTTTCATGTAAACTCTATAACTGCCTCGTTTTACTTAAACTTTTGAATGCATCCAATTGTATCAGTACGCTCTGCAGATGCAGTTCAAACTTCGAGTTGAATTTTTCTCACGAAGAGCATTTCCAAGGCCCAAAAATCCGAACGTCCGTGTAAAGTCCAGGAAAATTTGAAAAATTTCAAGTTCAAAACCACGAAGAGCTAGAAAACTTTAAAATCCAAGGAAACTTTGCCACCCCGTTTTATGATCAGTGAAAAATATACATTGCCGTTTCAGCCCCGTGAACATGGCCTTTCTCCAGCTACCCATATCGGGCTGTATCCTCGCGTTTAGTGGCGAGGCATGACGCATGAATGATCGATTATTGAAATTTCTCCGTTTGAAGTAATGATGAAGGATCGATTACGAAAGTGTCCGTTGAGAACTCCCTGTTTATCGATCCTTTTGAATAGGTTTAAACAGTAGATCAATCGATATATCGCGAAGCACGCCACGCCTATGGCGCAAATCCCTTCTGAATCTGGAGGAACGCTTTACACCGGCGAGTCAGTTCGTCAACGTCAGTAATTAGGGCACCCTCACTTCTGAACCCCCGTTCAGAAGTCCGAACATTAGCGTAAATACACTCAACTGGTAACCGGTAACCGGCGACTAGTTTGATTGATGAGACTGCAACTTTTCGTAGCGACGAGCTTTACCCGCAAGTTTGAGTACTTGACTAGGAGCAGTAGAGTAGCGTGCTTTGCGATATATCGATTGTTATATCATTTAAACCTATGGAAAAGGATCAATAAACAGGGTGTTCGCGGTGAACACCTCAATAGTCGATGCTTTACCATAGGTTTAAATGGCATAACAATCGATACATCGCAATTCTCGCCACGCCACTGACAAGGAGATGTAGTTGCTGCAGCGAACACGAACACGTCGAGAATTTCCGAGGAAATACGAAATACTACCACTCTAACTAGGGAAATAGTATTTCTCTCTCGGAGAGCAGACAAAGTTCTAAAGCTCGGTCTGAGCGCAATCCGTCATTTAATAGACGTTTAGGAGCTGTATGAGTGTGATTTTAGAGATTGATGGCTGTAAAACAGTCAACTACTCTGCCATGCTAAGGAAAAACGCCGTATGGACATTCGAAAGTTGTCACATTTCCACCGATAAAATGCTAATTTTTCAGGCGAGTCATGAATATTTTCCCTTAAAATTTTCAGAAAAGTTAGATCTGATCGTGAATGGAATTAGGTACCTGAAAAATTGGAGAAAAAATATTATCAGATTTCCCGATTTCAGATTCAATTTTAGTTTGTTTCTTCTTAATTCGTTCTCTTTGTATGCCCGGTTGAAAATGCAAGTATGGAAGTGTGAAATTGTAAACTGTGCATGCAGGGCGTCTACTAAAACAGGCTGACCAGAAATCAGTAGTTTTGCAGAACATTCTTAAAAAATTCAGTACCTCCATATCGGAGAAATTCTCTACTTTTTCAGTACCTCTAGTAGACGGTTTCAGAAAAATTTCGAAAATTTGAAACGCTCGCTCGAATTGCGACAAAAATGCCGTGGACACAAAATTTTATTTGTAGCTTAAAGATGAACTAAGTGCGCAAACGCGATTTTGCACGCAAATACCACTCCAAGAATCAACGTGCAGTGGATTTCATTATTTACAGGCTGTTTGAAAAAACACGCGTGGTATGAAGGAAAAAATTCCGGACCTTCTTGCGGACTATTTGCGGACTTTCCGGAAATTCTGGTCTAGTAGACAGCCCTGGCATGCCGAGCTCGATACAAATTAGTTGGACTCACTGAAACACAGGAGGATTTCCGTGTTACCGGGGGCGTTTTTTTTTTTTTTTTTTTTTTTTTTTTTTTTTCCAAGTGCGGTGCGTAGCAAGTTTGCAAAAATGAATGTGGGAAAAATGAGTATTCCAGCGGTTGACATACTAGACGCACTCAGATGGGGGATGGGGTTGAGGATGTTTGCGGTCGCCGCGCCGTTCGGCTGTGCCGCAAGGGGGAGAATTTATGCAGGAAAAACGGATTGCATCATTTGCGAACGGGTCACAGGGTATTCCATTTCCACTCCTTAGCCTATCTAATAACTGACAGTGAGATGCATCTGTTGCGTCAATGACGTCTGTATCTTTTTCACGTGATTGGAGACGTAAGTACACAAGTGGCGGTTTTTATTACGATGTGTATACCTCAGTGTCTATGGCCGAACCGTGGCATCTGCGGGTTGCAAACGGAGCCCCTACGTTTCATTATCGCGTTGCTACCAGAGACCCACCAGTATTCTGCCGATACCTATTCAAGGTTAAGTTACTCAAGTTCCCTCAAACAAAATATGAACCAGGGTAAAAACCACATGTCTTCTGAATCTTTCAGTTTCTCTTGTGCAGATACCTAAGGTATTCAATGAGACTGCAAGATCATTTTTGAACAATTTCAAACGCATTACTCCTAGACGCACTACGAATCACCTCCGCATGAGATTCCCATGAAAGTGCCTTAGGGATTGCATAGAATACATGGATATCTTCAAGGAATTTTCCCGTAAAGAATATGTTGTACATTGCAACTGAAACTTAAGTCCAGAAATTGACGTATCCTTAAGATATTGGATTTGGTATTTACTTTTTTCCCTATCCATTAAGGCACAAAGTTCCGAATGGTTCCAACAATAGGAGGAACTTATTGTTAATTATAAAATTGCAATATTAATTTGCTCATTCAAGATTATTGATTGTTTTTCCCCCGAGAAGATCCCTCTTTTCTTGAGAGGACATCTTCTTTCGGCCATCGACTTTTCTTTGAGGGAAAATTGTGCTTGTGTGTGAGCTTTTTCCCTCTGTATTGATTTATCAGCTTTAAGCTGAATTTCTAGCGCACGTTGGCTAAAAAGCTCCAACATCCCGTCTTACGACCCGTGCGTCCACTGCAATCAGTTGGTGTACATCACCTTTCTTGATCATCTTTTCAACACTACTTATCCTATTCTCTCATGTTTTCATCATTTTTTCGAAATAAGTTATTTTAAGTTAGGAGGAATGAGTTAGGGCTAAGCTTCCTTAATTTTCGCATGCAATACAATTCGAAGAGGAAACTACATTTTTCAAAAATAGTAGGAGCTCACTCTTGGTTTTGCAAGTAATTAAGGATTCGACGAAGAAAACACAAGGAAAAATGAATTCGCAAAATTATGTACTCATACATGTATTTATTATCCGAAAGAAAAGCATTTCGAAATTTTACGCACCTTTTCGATTTTTCCAAAATGGTCTCTTTCGTATTTTTGATTTATCCTCCTTGTAACTAGTTATCCTGGTATCATTATAATCCAAATGCACACTTATTAAGAAAATCACTGATCACCATCACTTTCAATCGAATTGCACTGGCTCGATTTTATATAAAAGAGTGCCACTGTTGACACACATCACTCTAAATTTTTCATCCACCCCTGTACTCCAATTTGTCTAATTCTTTTTTTCGCGTTTTCAAAAAAAAAAAAAAAAAATCACACTTTCTTAGTTACGTTTTTATCATCCGTGAAATCGAACCTATTTTTCGCGGGTGAAGATTCTTGGACACCTATGTACCCACAGGGAAATCTTTTTAAATTTTCTGCCGGAGTGAAAAGTGACGTAAAAAAAATTCCGAGCTCGACGAGAAAAAATTCAATTTTCTGGAACGCACGTCAAAAATTACGCGAACGTAAAGCTACCGGATCGGGTCGACCGAACACAGTCCTCTCGTCTGCACTTCGCACGGCGCACTGATTCGATCACTTCGCGCTTCCCGGCTCGCCAACCCAAGTGCAGGAGCAGTGAGCTCCGTCGTTGCCACATTGAACATCAATTTCGCTTAATTCAAGAGCTCCCATAGGAAACCGCTGAAAAACCTTTTCCCAGTTTCGAGACAGATCAGAGTGTCTAGCGACCAGGAAATGTTAGGGCATTTTTCTTTGTGTCAGGGAAATCAAGGAAAACGCCAGGGAATCCGCAAAACTTCCGCATGACAGGGGATTTTATTTTGCAAGCGATCTCCGTGTCGGGGAAACGTCGAGGAAATCGAAAATCACGAATTTTTCCGAAAAAATTTCACTCTCACGGAGTTTTCCACCAGAATTTCTGCTAATGTCTTTTAAGTTTTAAAAATTAAAAACTTCTGAGGGAGAACTTGATCAAACCATCCACTTCCGAGTATAGCAGCCCATTGATTTTAGTGGCAAAAGAGGAACCCGGTGCTTATGAGGCAAAAATATCTCGCATAAGTTTCGGCACCGTAAATTTTGCTGTATTTATCACATTATATTCCTGAAACATGAAAAAATTGTTACTTTTACGCAATGAGTTCAGCCGTGCCGAAAAATTGGGAAAATGTTTCCCTTTCTTTAGAGAATTATCGGGGAGTTATTTCTTCCGTCTGTCAAGTAATTTTAAATTGTGTCCCGATTTTTAAGCCTTTTTTTTTTTTTTTTTTTTTTTTGAAAATTGCTAGACACCCTGAAGATAATAATGTCTCACTGGAAAAAAAGTATCTTAGATCCAGCGTCCAAACTTTTCAAAAATTCGGCAAGGAAGACATACTCTTGATTCACGCGGATGTTTGCTTGAATCGAAAGCCCAGCCTCTGTATTCAAGCGGATTTCCTTTTGATTCAAGCAAAAGTCTGATCGAATCAAGAGTATATTTCTTGTCAAATTTTTCAAGAGTCCGGACTCTGGATCCAAGAGACCTTTTTTTCCAGTGCTGATGGAAGAAAAGAAACTTATTTCCTTTTCAGGATTCAGTTATTTTCTGTATTTCATATCTAAATTTCTACTGACATTACGAACTCTTATCATCAAGAAAGCTAACCATCAGTATTTCAACTATTTATTTGAAAATTTCCCCTTTCATTGTCAAAACACCTTTTTAACTGATTTCAGTCGCTACTAATCACGAATGCATATGAAACTCTACTATACTGTGATTCAGTTCCGGCTGCGGTGTAGGTGTAGCCAATATTTACTCAGCATATTAAGCAATTCATTAACTGACTTTGAAGTTCCAGTCTGAAAAAAACCAATTAATGGAGTGTTCACATAATGTTCCGCAATTTTTTTCAAGCTCAAGTCGAAGGAGCCAAACTGATCTTAGGAGTGTGAGTGTGGGCAAGAAAATTTTAGTAATTACCAGATTTCTGATTTCATATGATCCCTAGGATATTTAGTCGCAAGTACTAGATTTCTGACAGCACGCAGATTCTTAACGTTACTAGAAAATAATTAAAACTGGGAGAAATATTTGATTTTCTGGTAATCTTGTAATGAAAAATAATCTAGTAGCCACCAACATCTTATTTTGAGACAAAATTGGACGTATTTCTGCTAAACGAAGTAAGAGAGAGGTGGAAAAGTAGGGGTGTGCTCGTCAGTTGAGGCCCGTAAGAATGAATGGGAATTAAAAAGCGCCAGTGACGTCAACGTAAACGACCGGGCTCGCCGAGCTCAATGATACCGCATCAACTCATGAGCCATATCCACAACGCTCTTATCACGTGCCCATGGCTCATGAGTTAGCATAAAGTTGGCGTTTACAATTAGTTCTGTTTGATTTACCATAAAATCCCGCTTTTCCATTTCCCCACAAGGAATCACTCCCACTTCAACAGCGTTTCTTTTGCAGCTCCCAGTGAGCACAGCTCAGCCCATTTTTCCCACACGTCTCCAGTTCCGTTTAGCAGAAATAGTCTGACTCAAGGTGAGTGAAACGAAGGTATGCATGCACTTCCCGACCCTTCCGACCACTTCGGCCAGAACTCAGCTGTCGACTTCCGCCGCTAGAGTTGTGGCGCGAATTTTGAATTTCAACAATTTTGCAGTCCTGGCCGAAAACAAATATAACCGTCTGCTGTTGATTACAACGAACAAATTCAATGCAAGCGAAATCTTTAATTCATTTGCTTTCAGTACTTCGGCTGTTTTCCTTTTCCTTTTTATCAACAGAAGGCGGTCACATTTGTTTTTTCGGCTAAGACCGCAAAATTGTTGAAATTCAAACTTCGCGTCACAGCTCTAGCGGCTGGAGCCGAAAGCGTTCGGAAGAGCATACCTTCGATTCTTTTAGAGTACCTACCTGTATACGGGAGAGTATTGCCATCTCAATCCTTTTACTACAGAAAAAGTGTGCCGCTCTTTGATCGGTCAGGTATCATGGAGCCCCAAAGTTGGCCCAATGTAAGCACACCCCAACCCTCCCGCTCCTAGTTTGACCCAATGTAAACAAACATGATGGCGAAAAAGTTCTACAAAGTTCTACAGACGTGATTTTGGATGTGATGGCAATTTTTTAATATCCAACTTCTGAATTGCTTGGACTCCAACTTTGATGGATATTATGCCAAAAATTAACCTCTCAGTATGATTATCATTCATTTCTCAGCCAATAATACGTATTCCTCTGGGTCGGGTTTGTTTACATTGGTCCAACTTTGGAGCTCCGTGATAGCCTAAAACTGATGAACCAATCAGAGAGCGGCACAGAGATGGCAATACTCTCTCGTATACAGGTACTCTAGTTTCACTCATCTTGCGTCTGACTCACGTCAAAGCGTTGCTCAAAATTAAGCTCTCCTCGCACGGCTCGGTAGATTTGTCAACAGTGCTGGCATGTTGTGGATCCTCCGCCTATTTTTTATCACCCACCGATTATTATTCCAACTCCCCCTCCCAGGAAGGTGAGTCGCACAGCTGGAAAATTTACCTTTCGCACCAGCCTGCGGCGGGGTTCATGCTTCTCCAGTGGAGCAACAGGCGCCGGCACCTATCCCTCCCGCCCGGCAAAGCAACGTTGCAAAAACGTTGCGGCAACATTGCCAATTATCTGTCAAAACACGAAGACCTTGGACGAGTGGCCAGTCCCGCCAAAAGGTCTGGTTACAAGATCAACGAGGGGAGCTCAAATTGGATTTGGCAGTTCAGCACCAATATAACTAACGTAGCCGCAACGCATTAAGCCCGAAAAGACGAGAGTGGGTCGTATTCGACACATCAAATAGGTGAGATTGTATCGATATCGATTGGTTCAACATGTAAACATAGCCTCAAAAGTCAGTCGAGTAATCTTTGGGAACGGGGTTCTTGTGAAAGATTTTTTATTCTGATGAGTAACACTTGGCAATGAAACGTAAAATTGTTTGGAGTTTTCTCTTTTTAAGCTTTACTAACTTAAATTCTAAAATTTTTGTTTGAGTTTATGTTCTATTGTTTTGAACCAAACGATACATCGAACCGCTATCGAATACGATTCATTCATGTTCAAAATTTCTCGGCCTGCAGAATTTTTAACATCGCCAATGAAAAAGCGCGGATGCACAAGTGGACTACATTTTGCAACAAGGAACTAATAATTTTGACTTACCCACAAAAGCACGTTTCTGCGTAGGGGGACTATCGACTCATGTGTTGTTTGTGAGAAGGGACAATGATTGTAGCTCCTTATTGTAAAATAAAGTCCAAATCTACTGTAGTTTGTTATCCTCTTTGGTGTTCACGCACAAGTTGTAAGTATCCAAATTTGGCACCTTTAATGTACCAACTCATACCGCATCAGATTTAATTTAAGCCCAAACATGGTTCTTGCAACGGTAAATGTTGGTCAAATGTACCTACAATACTTTCGGATAAACGAGGCTGGTAATGGGGATCAGTGTGTAATTGGACTACACTGCATCAAGTTTGCAGTAACACCACAGCATGCAGCAAGTTTTTTTTCCGATTGAATGCCAGACAATGCTTCAAGAATCTACGATAAGCGATTGAAAGATCCCATGAGTTAGCACCAAGTTGCACAATCATTATATAAATATTTTAACTCCAGTGTTGGCATTAAAGCATCACACAAAATCGAAGGCCTTTTCGACAGGTGACAACAGTTTTTTGTTGCTACGCGTTTCGCGTGAGCGGAGCAAACGAACCCCCATTTTCTCACCATTTCTTTGAAGACTTAAGTCAGGATCTGCCAAGATACGACACTTTTGCAAATTACACCAACAGTTTCCATCAAGGTTTTTTCTCATTGAATCTGAGAAAAAACTGCATGCATGTTTGATATGCGATTGGAAGATCCTTCTATGTACTATCAAGATGCACAATCATGTTTGATACAACTATTTTAACTCCGGTGTGGGCGGCGAAGTATCCCACGATACTGAAGGCGTTTTCGACTGGAGACAACAGTTTGTCGTTGCTCACGCCGCGCCGCATCAACGCGTATCGTCTAAACGGATCAAATAAACCCGCGCATCTCTCCGTCATATGCTTAAATCAAGATCTGCCATGTTACAACTTTAAATGTATACTCGCAACATAACACTGAAACAAAAATGTTTGTTCTCTTTACCTTACTGTGCAATTTTGTTTATTCGCTGTTCTCTTTGCCTCAGGTATAGTAAGGCTGAGCCAATGAGCATTCTGAGAAGTAAATGAGCTTCGGAGAAAACCCCCTATTTACATACAATCACAGGTTTCCCTAAATTGAGCGTTGTTTTCGGCTTTAAGTGGAGTAACTGCCCGCATTATTTCAAATACCCTTTTTGTCAAGGGCTTTTTGTGTTTTATCGCCCCCCCCCCTCTCTCCTCAAAGAATAATTATCTCATTGCCTCTATCCCACTCGAAGGCTTCTCTGCAACAATGCAAAATTTGAGGAACGGAATCTGGTTCGGCGATCGGCAAGAGTACTATAATTATTTGATCATAACCCAGACTCGTTATATTTTT